CACACACACATGTGTACACCACACACACACACACACACACACACACACACACACACATACACAAAAGTAACCTTAAGGATTCCGACATCACAGATGCCTCATACTTGTGGAATTCTTACCGTACTCCTTCACGTCAAAGGAGTGCTCTATTTTCTTCCCTGAGTCCTTCTGCGCTACAACCTTGTAGGTACCTAGCGTGGGCTCAGCGGACAGTGGGAAGGAGAGCTGGTGGAGTCCGGTTGGTAGATTGACATACTGCCATTGAAAAATCCGGTTCCTCTTGGGATTCTGCAGGAAGATATTATCACTTTTGCAAAGACTCGAAACATAGAGAGGGCGGCAATGACACAGGTTATTTAATAGGCAGTTGGTGAATTCGTGCTAAAGCTGTCAATCCATTAAAAAAAAAAAAAATTCTAGAGCTGAGTAACAGGCCGTGAAGTCACCGGCTGCGGGATCCAGCGAATCCTGCGACCATGCCATCCCAGCTGCGTCAGTCTTGCGTGATCTTGGAAGCCAAGCGGTTTACTACACAGAAAGGAAACCCTGCTTATGTGCGTTGTAATGGACTTTTTTTTTTTTTTAAATATGTATGTCTGCTTTGGCCAGAAATATTTGAGGTATCATGAACTCACACGTCAGCCATAAAGAACTGCAATTCTTCACTTCGCTTTTACTTTTCCAAAGAATGTGAGGTAGGCAAAGAAAATAGGATTTTTTTTTTTTTTTTTTTTTTTTTTAGTAGAGGTGAAGTGGGGTCTGAACGGAGAAAAGCCAGCTCGCAGAACTTGTAGGGAACCCTCATTCTGACTGAGATGTACAGTTCGTTACCTACCTCAATGTAAACGACCCGGAACTGAAAAGAGGGAAAAAAAAATAGTGTGAGTGTGTGGTGGAATTTAAAAAGAGAGCATCTTTTTAAAATTACAGTTTTTAAATTTTACTGAACTTATTGCTTCCTTTCTCACTCTGTGATTTATTTCCTTGTTACGTACCGTTTTTCCTTTTAGTCATTTTTGAGAGCTTTGTGCAATGAGTTTTGCCCATACTCGCCTCTCCCACACTCCTCCTATGCGTACTCCCTTCTCTACCCACCCAAACTTGTGTCTTCCTCCTCTGCCCCATCAAGCCCACTCGTGCTGCCCACATATTCATGGATGTCAGAGACAACCATGATATCAGGTGATAAAGTCTGTAGTCCGGAGGAACACAGTCTCTGCTTGTCTCGTCTGAACAAGGAGAGGTCTCCTGTTTGATCCAAAGCTTTTTACATGTTTAGTTTAGGGCATAAATCTCTTAAGAAGCCATGGATTTCCCTTTCCGGCTAGCATACACATACGTTTGAGGAAATGTACTGGGTGAAAGATCTGAATGATAGGTATGCTATTATTCTGCAAGTGATATTTGCTTAAGAGAAACCAGACACACTTCTGGACCTGGCTGGAATCTCGTAAGAGGACATTTTTAACTGAATATCTTTTTGTCGTTATATTTCAGACAGCATCAGACTGCATGGCCCAGGCAGGCTGGGGCCTTGCCATCCTTCTACTCAGCCTCCCGAATTCTGGGATTAGAAGCATGCATAGCCAGGCCCAGCTTGATTTTTAAATATTCTATCTCCTTTAAGAACACAGTTGGTGAACTGCCTCGATCTTCCAACTGCACATGCTTCTGGCACAGGTACTCTCAAGCAAAATTCTGTGCTAGAGTTAGGTATCTCTTGCACGATCTCAGACTTAAGTGTTTGCTTATTTTTCTCATTGGAATCCACCCACCAACAGGAGACTCACCGTTTCATTCAATGGGTGAAAACTGATGTCCATAGAGACAATGCGAAATTTCACTGAAACAGAGATTTTTTTTCCCTGTGAGACACCCCAGTGGGAACCCAGAGGCAGAGGTCCCATAACTGCAGGTTGGTCATAAAGAACAACACCCGCCCCTCCCCCCCATCCCCACAGTTTTTTTTTTTTTTTTCTCAGTGAGTTCCTTGTACCTGTTTGGCCTGGTTTGTATATGGGTTTGTCTGTCTGGACAAAGACTAGGCTTTCAGCTTTCGTTATCCACAATGACTTCCTCTTTATAAAGTTCTGAGTCGGCCCTTTTATCTGCACAGACATGAATGCCTCCGAAGATGGAGATGGCAAATCTGAGATCTGCAGGACAGAAATGAGTAGAGAGTGGGTTCAGCTCCACTTCCTAGTGCTCAGCTTTTACAGGGATCTGTTTTCCATGTGAATCCTTGAGAAATGGTAAAGGAGTGTCAATGACATCAGAGGATGAAGAAAATAGGAAACAGGGTGGGAACCTGCCACAGCGGGCCTCTAAAAGGCTCTGCCCTGCAGACTATCAATGCAGATGCTGAGCCTGATGGCCAACTGTTGGGCAATGTGCATGGAATCTTATGTAAGAAGTAGGAAATAGTAAGATCTGGAGAGGATAGGAACTCCACAAGGAGAGCAACAGAACCAGAAATTTGAACACAGGAGTTTTCCCAGAGACTCATACTCCAACCAAGTACCATGCATGGAGATAACCTAGAACCCCTGCACAGATATAGCCCATGGCAGTTTAGTGTCCAAGTGGGTTACATAGTAATGGGAAGAGGGACTGCCTCTGACATAATCTGATTGGCCTGCTCTTTGATCACCTTCTGAGGGGGGAGCAGCCTTACCAGGCCACAGAAAATGACAATGCAGCCACTCCTGATGAGATCTGATAGACTAAGATCAGAAGGAAGGAGAGGAGGACCTCCCCTATCAGTGGACTTGGGGAGGGACATGCATGAAGAAGGGGAGGGAGAGTGAGATTGGGAGGGGAGGAGGGAGGGGCTTATGGGGGATACAAAGTGAATAAAATGTAATTAATTTACAAAAAAGAATCTCAGTGTTCAAAGCTAATGGCTCAGCAGTTAAGGCTACACACTGCTTTTGCAGAGAACCTGAATTAGGGTCCTGCAACCATGTCAGGAGGCTCACAACTGGCCACAGCTCTAGCTCCAGGGTGTCCTCTTCTGGCCTCAGTGGCTACCTGAGCTCATGCACACATACACAGAGACACTAACTTAAAGTGAAAAATAAAGTAAAAAAGAATCTCAATATTTATATCTGTAAAAGTGTAAATATTATTTACCTCAGAAGTTCATTTCTAAAGTAAAAGGAAGTTTTCCTGCGGTTCTGGCAACATTTTAAGCACTTCATTCGACCTGCTTGTAAGTGTCATAAAAGCAATTTGAGGTATACTTTGTGCTCATCATTTTTCCTTAATGAAAAGATTTCTTTTTGATGAATGAGAACATAAAGATCAACTCCATTACCCTTTCTCCACCAGTACCGCACATTGTAGGAGGGACACTGACCGTGAAAGGCCTGCAGTAGGAAGAGTCCTTCTCCACAGAGAGGTCTGTGAGGAGGTTTGTGTGCTGCAGTCCATACTCTAGACTTATGTTGAGCGTCACAGTCTCATTCAGGTGGTTGAGGTTGACACAGGCCTTTTCAGGAACTCCTGAGTAGAGCTGTGATGGGACCAGCACCATGTACTGTCTGTGGAGAAGAGGATCAACCATGAAGGATTCAAAAGACATCTTTATTGTGGCTGCTTTCTGGCATCTTTCGTATTGCCATCAGCCGTTGGTTTTGGGAAAACTGGGTTCCCGAGAGGTCCCAGAGGTCACCATAAAACCCCAGATTAGACGCTGACATGATTCTCTGCTGTTCAGGAAATGTTCACCCATGGAATCTTAGAAACTTTGAACAATCAGTTCAAGTTATTGCTATGTAGCAATTTCCTCCAAATGGAAACATTCTTTCCTTGAAGAAGGAGGGAGGAGGGAGGAGAAAGGAGATGGAGACTCAAGAAGTAAATTCTGTGAGTTCTGTAGAGCTGAGGCTAACAGAATGGACGCAGTGTCTCCACGGCTGCAGAGGCAGTGAACAGCTGTTGGAGAGAAGCGAGGAAGCAGAGCTGCCTCTTAGAGACTTCTGGACCAGCCAAGTTGCCTGGAGGAGGGCCTCCTACCAGCAGAGAGCCCCAGGAATGCGGCTTTCATGAATCAGCATCCAGACAGAGGTGAGCCTTTTGGTGGTACAGTTATTTTTGAATCATCCATGTTCCTGTAAGCAACCTCTGACTCATATTCCCGTAGTTAACCCCAACAAACACATTGGTTCACCAAGGTGGACTTTGGTAGAATTACTCTTTCAGTCTCTTGTTGGTTTCCTATTGGGGTGGGTTGATGTTTGGGTCAGGTCTCCCTGAGACAAGCTGATGCAACAGCTATTATATATTTTGGTTAGAAATCCCAAATGTCCAAACCATGAACTCTTCAGTAGTTCATCACTGGAAGCCTGAAAAAACCAACTTTATGTGGCCCTGGGTTCCACGTGAGTACCACAAATCTTATACAGGAAGCACTAGAAACTAACACGCAATACCTGGGGAGAAGCTGAATTGTTTTTCAATCTAATTTAAGAAGCAGCCTTGGCCTCCCTCCTTCCCATCACTTGTGAGGTAAACCATACCAAGCTAGGTTAACCAGCAGACATCCCCAGACACTGCCAAGAGAAAAACAAGCCTTTCCTGGCACTGTCTGCTGTTCACTGGCAGCCACCCAAACACAGCCCTCTGTGAGGTTGGATCTTTCACATTGCTTCTCAACTTCTTAGTGTCTGTCTGTCTGTCCAGAAAACTTTTATATCTTCATAAAACCTCTTTCAAAAGAACTTGCCAAACTTGACAAAGATCCCTCCCCTATATCGGATCCTAAGAAGGGCAAGGCTTTCTTTGTAGGTGTTCTTAGGGACCTCTACAATGGCTGCTTCTGTTTGGGGATTTCTTTCTTTCTTTCTTTCTTTCTTTCTTTCTTTCTTTCTTTCTTTCTTTCTTTCTTTCTTTCTTTTCTTTCTTGTGTACCATATCTTTTTCTGTATTGCAAGATATTAAAGGAAACATGTTCTGTGAACATGTTTTCTAAAATCTAGCAGCCTCTAACTGTTTCCTAAAAGAGTGAGCAAAGAGACTCACACATCACTCACACATCTCTCTTGGGTGCCCCTCAACTAGGGAAGCAGACGCTTAGTTACTTCCCAATACCAGCACACGACAGGGCATCTATGAAGCGACAAACCAATGGTTCTTAACCGGTGGGGTGTGACCCCTTTGGGGGGGGGGTTGAAGGACTGTTTTATAGGGGTTGCATATCAGATATTAGCATCACTGATCATTACAGTAGCAATTAAAGTTATGAAATAGCAATGAAAATAATTTTATGGTTGGGGTCACCACAACGTGAGGAACTGATTTAAAGGGTCACAGCATTAGCAAGGTTGAGAACTGTGATAAACAGTTTATCTTTTTTTTTTTTTTGTAGGAATTCTATATTCTCATCTACTGCTCCATGTATCTCAGAGGTCTCTAGATCTGGAGTAGGTTTTCCACAGGAGCCTAGTTCTTCCTAGCTCTTTGCCAACAGATTAAGTGCACAGGAAACCAGGAAAGAGATAACACAGTGGGTAGGAGGGACACAATAGAATTTTCTGGAAATAGAATTGCTTACGGTTTTGCAGAAGCTGTGGCATCTCTGGGAAGAAGCAGAAACAGTAAGAGAGAGACTGGTGTGAGCAGCTGGTTTCTCCTCATGGTGGTGGGAGACAGAGAAGACCGGGTCTGAGCCCTCGGCCTCTTGAACTCTGATCATTGTCCAGACTGGTCGGTTTTTATTTACCTGATGGGCAGTGGGTGTAAGCTGCCAACCACTTACTTTGTAACATATTAACTACTTCACTATAAAAAAATCAATTCCAGATCATTTCCAGGACTATCTATGCTTTACCTACTTTTTAAAGTTACCCCAATGTTTGAAAAAAACAGGCTGCCGCTAGCTCTGGTTACTGTTCAGCACTTTAAACCTTTTTAAAGAGAAATGAATTAAAACACATGGTTTGATGACATCAATATACTTGTCCACTTTCTCTAAACAGGACTATGAGTGCAAATGTATGCTGGCAGTCTCCTCTCTGTAACTCGAGGAGTATTGCATTCCCTCAGTGACATAATGAAATTTACCACAGAGTGGTAAGGTAACTTTGAAGGTGTGTGCATTTTGTTATTGCTGTTTTTTTAGAAATCGGAAAAAAAAAAAGAGTCAAGTTAGACTTTTGTAGAATCATTACTTTGATCTGCCATTGCATCCTGATCTGGGCGAACAGACATTTATGTCAGGCGTTTTCCTCAGGAAAAGCGTGACACAGCAGGGGTGTGTGTGCATTCATGTGAGTGTGGAGGCCAGAGATTAACAATCTCTGATAACATCAAGTAACTCTCCTATCGCTCCCCTGAGCTACCACTACCACTATCTCCCTGTCCTCACTGTTATTATTATTTAACTTTTCGAGACAAGGTTTCTTCATGTAGCCCTGGCTCTCCTGGAACTAGCTCTGTAGACCAGGCGAAGCACCTGTCTCCACTGCTTCCAGAGCTCATCAGTTGGCTAGACTGGTTGGCCATCGACAGGGATCTTCCTGCTCCACAGGGCTGCGACTACAACCAACTACACGTGCCTACCTCCATGCCTGGTCTTTTATGTGAGTGCTGGGATACAACTTAGGTCCTGGTGCTTGCTCGGTGAACCCTGAACTACCTCCCCAGCCCACCCTCCAAAGCATAAAAGTTTGGCTTTTATTTTTGTATGGTTCTCCTCTTCTTTGATATCATAAAGAAAATGACAGTTCATTTGGACCTAAGACATATATAATACATATTTAATATATTATTGAACATTAAGAAAATGAAGAAGATTGATACAAGGAAATAATTACTATTTAATAAGCATTCATATTCAATTTTTCTAGAATGAAAATAAAATATGTTGTCAGTATTCAGTCATTCAAGACAGGGTGTTAGAATCTATTTTACAGAGTCATGAAAACAGGAAAAAAATCTCACCATTACATTAATATAAGATCACTGCAAGATTAAAGGTTGGGTGTTCCGCTGGTTGTGATGGTGCCTGTCTGTGACCCTGGTACTCATGAGTCTGAGGCAAGAGAATATAACTTAAAAGTTGGCCTAGGAGCGGAAGTAAGTTTAACCTCAGCCTGAGCAATTTGTTGATCCTGTCTCAAAATAAGAAATAAAGAGCTGGTGAGGGTAGGGTGTGGTGGCACAAGCCTGTAATCCCAGCACTCGTGTGGCAAAGGCAAGGTATGGCTTGCCAGTTCAAGGCAAAGTTGGTCTATATAGGGGGTTCTTCTTCTTCTTCTTCCTCTTCCTTTTCTTCCTCTTCTTCTTCTTTCTATATGTACTGAGTTCTAGGCCAGCCAGGAAAACACAGTGAGATCCTCTCTCAGATTAAAAAAAAAAAGAGTACTGAAATAGTACTCTGTAATCATGTGTTTCTTTTCTTGGAGGTTCAGGAGAAAATTTTGTTTGAAAATTATCTCTTAATGAAATCAATGCATATTGCATTTGGCCCCCTTGATAAGATCATGTATCTTTGGATGGATATTGATTAGTACTAGTTTGAGACAAATTTTGACAATCTATTCTTCACCTGTTTTTTTCTATACTATTTCTTATTTTATAGATAAATAGAAGCAATAAGAAAACTTGTTCATCATAAAAGAGATAGAAAATGTTGAGGCTGTACTTTCATTCTTTTCAAAGAAAGGCACCGAAAACCAGGCAGTTGCAAAAAGAGTTTGGATATCTATCTGTTGAATCACTTTTACACCAAGTTCCTAGAGCTTGTGTCCAAGTCTCATTAGGGCTTAGGAATAGCTACCAACTATCACTTTCTTAAGTAAAGACACAGTTTTGAACGCAATACGCTTAGCAAATCTAAATAAACTGAAATATCAGCTTATTTGTTTTTTGTTGTTTTTGTTGTAACACAACTATAAAAAGACTTTTGCTAATATAGCACTCTGTGGGATGCTTTCATTTTATTAGAACCATGATCTATACGTTAGTCCGCAGCTGCTAATAATCTAGATTGAAGCTGAGTACTTGTTAAATTAGTTTTTCTTTAGTTGAAGTCACTGTACTTAGGATAACGCTTGTACTACTGAGTTCTAGGGTAAGCAATCAGGCTGGGGATCTACTGTCTACAAAAATGTAGGTCCTGCTCACCTAGAGTCTCTGCGCAGGCTCCCTGATTTACCTCTGTGCAGTTTTCAACAGCAAATGTATAGCAGTCAGAAAAGAAAAACGTTAGTGTTTTAAAGCAAAAATGGTCATTTCTACAGGAGTGTAGGAAACTCCAGGATGAGCCAGAAGGACTCGTTTGTAATGTCCTTATTTCCTCATACCAGAAGTAAATTTGAGTGAAATGGATGTTTGAAGCTTAAGAGAAGCTGAAGATCTCTTGGTTGTAAGAGTTTACACAAATATTGAGGTAAGAAACTAGAAGGAAGGTCTTCACTCCAGGGCACATCTAAAATGCATGTGACAATGGGGAGAGGGTCTTCACGTACTAAAATAACTCGCAAGTCATGCCTGGGGGGTGATGGCTGCAACCATCCTAAAGTTATTGCTCATACACAATTTCAAGGAATCCTGAAATGATGTTGAAATAGACCAAGGCCAAAGTTGAATCTGAGTGGGAGATTTTTGTCAAGTGTCCAACGTGAACCTTGTGGAGTCTGTGAGATGGCTCAGCAAATCAAGGCACCTGTGTCCAAGCCTGACCACCTGATTTAGAGCCTTAGATTACATAATGAGGGATAAAGGACCCCTGTGCTCTGATCTCCACATGTGCACCATGTGTGTGTGACCCCATAAAATAAACAAATCGGTGTGTAAAATAGCTTGTTACACTGTTACACATTTGTCAAGTTTAACAGATCCACACTCTACTAACTATCAAATTTTAATGGCAATGGCAAAAAGAGGCTGTTGTGAAGAAAAAGCAAAACCCGAATGGCTGAATTATACCATTAAATATTTACACTAACTAAGGTTAGAGGAGTTGATTTTTTACATTGTTGATTATTTTGGTGTGTTAACTAAACAAAAAAAAAAAAAAGCTTTTGAACTATCAGAATAAAGCTACTTCAAAAATGTGGAAAACATCATTACCTTTGGACATAGTTCTAAGTCAGTGTCATTTCCCGGGATGTGTGTTTGCAGAGCGTTGAGCAATTTTGAGTGGGCTGAGAACGAAGGTGTCCTCCCCGTTTTAGTGTACATTGGGGGAGCTACATTTAAATTACTGAGACAGAAATCTGAGCTGCATTTGAGTATATTGAGACCGATACTGAAGCTCTACATGTTTACATGGCATTACAAACAAAGGTTGTAAGGAAAAGCGAGTGGGAATATTCCTTGTGATAACTCATCCAGCACAATAACTCCCATTGTGGATCTTGCTCTGGCAGAGGACAGACTGGAAAAATGACACAGTGTATTTCCACCCTTCAGCCCTCAGTGTATGCTTCTGAGCAGATTCTGGGAAGGAGGAAGAGGGACAAAAAGGATGTAAGGACTGCATTGTTTTTATTTCGCAAAGACACATGCTTTATGTTGTATAATATCAGCATTCAGATATCAGCTCAGGGTGTTGTCAAGGGAGACAGAATTCATCAATTCTGTCTTTTTCCAAGACTTCAGAGGCATTTACTCTCCCAGTACACACAAATAAAATGACCTTGTAGAAAATTAATTTTCTAACTGGGGTAAGATGAAATCTCAATGTAGTTTAGCCTGCATTTCTCTGATGGCTAAGGATGTTGACCATGAAAACAAAACAAAACAAAACGTTTCTCAGCTATTTTTATTTCATCTTCTAAGAACTTTATGTTTAGCTCCACTCCACAGTTTTTAATTGGGTTGTTTGTTTTTTTTTTTTTTTTTTTGATATTTAGGTTTTTTTGGGTTCTTGCATGCTCTAAATAATAACTCCCTTTCAGATTTTTCCCACCCTCCAGGCTGCCTCTTCATTCAAATGGTAGCGGTGTCCTTTGCTGTTCAAGAAATTTTTAGTTTCATTGTGTCCTGTTTATCATTTGTGGGTCTTAATGTCTACACTGCCAGGGTTGTATCCAGGAAGCCCTTTCCTGTGCTGATGAGCTCAAGAGTATCTCCTGCTGTCTTCTATGTTAATTAGAATTGGGGTTGCAGGTCTCATGTTGAGGTTCTTGGTCTATATGGAGTTGGGTTTTGTGCAGGGTGGGAGATAAAGACCTAGTTATCAAGTCTGATCAGCACCGTTTGTTGAAGATGCTTTCTTCAGTGTGGTTGTTGGCCTCTTTGACAAAAATCAGGTGGCTGTAGAAGTGTGTGTTTATATGTGGGTCTGCAATTCTATTCCATTGATCAATGTGTCCATTTTTATGCTAGCACCATGCTGTCTTGATTACTTCAGCTCTGTAGTATAACTTGAACTCTAGGATGGTGAAATTTTCATCAACTTTATTGTTGTTGTTCAGGGCTGTTTTTAGCTATCCTGTGCTTTTGTGTTTCCATATTAAATTTAAGATTATTTTTTGAATTTTGGTGGAGTTGCGTTGGAATATTGATGGGAATTGCATTGAATCTGTAGTTTGCTTTGGGTGGGATGGACATTTTTGCAGTGTGTTGTATGACATACTTTTCCTGGGGAGATACAACAGACACACATCTACTCATCCCAAAAAGGGCCTGTGAAAGATTAATTATTGCGTCCATATCCAATTTGGTGAACCAATGAAGTCTTACTCTCTGAAGCTGTGAAGAGACATCATAACCAAGGCAATTCGTATGTAACATTTGATTGGGGACTTGCTTATGGTTTCTGAGGTTTAATCCATTATCATGATGGCAGGGAGCGTGGCAGAAGGCATGGCAGGTGCGGTGCTAGAGAAGTAGTTGAGAGCTGCAACAGGAGCTTCAGGAAGAGAGAGACTGGGGCTGGCATGGACTTTTGAAACCTCAAAGCCCTCAACCAGTGGCATACTTCCTCCAATTAGGCCACACCTTCTAATCCTTCTACTCTTATCAAAGAGTTCCACTCTCTGGATTATGCATTCAAATATTTGACCCCTATATTCTGGCCTCCATAGGTGGATAGCCATATCACAATGCAAAAATGCTTTCGGCTCAACTTCAAAAGTCTGTGTCACCTAGCACAGTCTCAAAACACTGCTTAAAAGTCTGAAATTCAAAGTCTCTGAGACTCATGGCAATCCTTTAACTGTTCTCTCCTGTAAAATCAAAATAAAGGAGCAGATCCCGGACTTCCAACATACAATGGCACAGGAATACTGTTCCAAAAGGGAGGAAACAAGCATAGTAAAAAAAAAATGTGGGACCAAAGCAAGACCTAAAACCAACAGGGCAAACTCCAAATTCTTCAGATCCATGTCTGATGTCAAAGCGCTCTTCAGCTCTTCAATCCTTCCAGCCTTGTAAACTGCAGCGCACTTCTCTCTCTTGGGCTGGTTCCACACCCTGTTTGTTACTTACAGGGAACAGGGCTAGCTCAAAAGTAACTACATCTCCAGAAGGGCCACCCCCATGTGTGACAATTCTTGGAACCACATCCCTGGAGCTCTCTGCATCACCAGCAGGGGCCTCCACTGTCTTGATGTCTTTTGTTTCTACAGCTGCTTGAGTACCTCTCCCACACCCGAGATTGTTTATTTCCTTTTTCACTCTCTGGTAGGATATGTGACTTTTTGTTTCCCTCCCGAGGCTCATGGGCCTTCCTTTCTATCCTGGAGGGAATGTGTCAGTTTGGAGGAGGAAAATGCCACATACTACGCTGTCTTAAAGTTTTCGTTGTACATGTCTTTCCCTAGGTTAGATTTGTTCATATGTATGTATATGATGTACATGTATGTTTATATATGTATGCATATGTGAATACACACATGTGCTCTACTGTGTAGGTAACATTCCCTCCAAATTGCTGTGAGCCTACGGATGCCCCTCAAGAACTGTAGACAGGTGATCATGTTAGACCTCCAGTCAGGCACCTACCTACCTACCGAAAACCCTGCAATGAGTTACAGAGAGAGCTAAAGTCCTAGCGATGACCCTCGGTCTCCCACCTGGTCTGGTGTCTGGTGTCCAACCTTGATTTCTTGTGTTGCTCTAATCACACTTAGCTGCTCTCTCTTGACCACATGGCACACCTCTACCTTAGGGGTCTGTTTCCTTTCCTTGCTGATCTTACAACCAGGAATAGTCTTTCCTGAGATATAATTATGTCATTGGTGCCCTTTCCTACCTCAGGCCTTTGCTTAAATATTATTGCTACATGAAATTATCCCTAGAGCCATGTCTCGTCTTTCAGTCTTCTCCGTTCCCAGCTCCCAGAGTACCCTGGATCCTTTGACCCTTCACTACACGTTACAGCTCCCACAACATCTATCACCTCCTCATTTCTCGTATTATTCTTTCCTTTTGTGTCTGCTTACGTTTTTGGTTAAATTAGAAATATATCATTTATCTTTCCCATCAGAAGGTCAGACAAAGGTGGCTGTTCCTATGCTTTCATTCACTGTTATACCAAGGGAGTGTTCAGCAATTGTCAAAAATTCAAGACTAGGGCTCTGTACTAGGTCAGCATGGCAGAGTGGACAAAGTCAGGGGCCTCCGTCAGTCTATCACAAGGCAGATCGACAACTGGCTAGTTGTCTATTGCCATCATCGGGCCCTTCTTCCTTGTCTATAATTTCAGAAACCATCTTATTACATATCCAATGTAACTGGTGAACACACAAATAAATTAAGAACTGATCATTTGTTTAGGAAAAAAGTTTCCTATAAACACATTAAAACAATAGAAAAGCAAAATTCTTCAGTGTTATGCTATGAGGGGCATATTTTCTTTGGGTGGAATATTGGAATATTTAGGAAGACTCTGTTTTTTTATTTTAATATTTTTGTGAGTCCTGATGGACGGCTCTCATGTTTTAATTGCTGTGTCTGATAAACTAGAAGAACCAAATCTTAACTAGGCAGAGTAAGCCTAGTCCCCTACGTAGATGGGACAGGTGCTCTCTGCAATGTGAATCAATGGGCAGATCAGTTAAATGTCCTTAGGTACTCTGAGCGGAGGAACTACACACACAAAACAACCCACATCCAACTATCTAAATGCTTTATATTTTCAAATTTTGTCATATCCTCATAGTCTAGGACAGCGGTTCTCAACCTGTGTGGGGTAATTGATGACCCTTTCACAGGGGTCACCTAAGACCATCAGAAAACACAGATATTTGCATTATGATTCATAACACGAGCAAAATTACAGTTATTAAGCAGCAATGAAATAACCAGCACAGCATGAAGAGCTGCATTAAAGGGTCACAGCGTTAGGCAGTTGAGAGCCACTGCCCTAGGAGATCTTGGTTCCCAATTCTCTAACAGCACAACTGGAGAATTCTGTTGATCACCTTTTCGTAGTCTGTAAAGAGTCTTAGTGAGACCAGAAGCCCTTGTTAAAACTGATACAGAAACTTTTCCTTTCTGTCATTTTCTCCAGCTTCCTCCCACTTTTCTGTCCTCCATCTAAACTCATTGCCACAGCAGAAATGCTCAATCAGACAAAGAGCAGATGTAAAGCATTGCTTTCCAGTTACAAGTGGGAAGCTTGAAGTGGTACAATAGCTTTTAAAATGACAGCATGCTAGCCTTCAGCTAGCCTCTCGATCTTCCCTTCAATACATCCATCCCTTAATTCAGGGCAATTTTCTGCTTCCCACCTGCCACAGTTTTGAATGTGCTCTGAGAAGAGTCTGTCTTTCATTGTTTATTTCTATGTTGAGGTGACACAGAATTCTCTCCAGCTTCAATCTAATCTCCTCTACCTCCATTTCTTTGACCTATTTCCCTTTCTGGGCTTTGGAGGGTTTCTGTTGTGTAGAGTTTAAGTGCCCAAACTTGAGTTTAAACTTGACAAAAATGAAGCAAATCATTTAGCTGCACTCATAGTCCTGAGATTTCTATAGTGAAAACTGCAAAGAAGAGGACACAGTGGCCCAGACTTGAAATAATGCCATTTAATGAAAGGAAAAGAAATTCAGCTGACAAGAAGCCATTGTAATCCAAGTCTCTTCAGGATGTGAGGTGGTTGGTAGTGGCTCTCTGCTAGGATGCTGATCAACACAGTTTATTCAAAGAAACAGTCTCCTACCTGGGATTTAAAGCAAAGTTTAAACAACAAATACGCAAGTGTGTGTCTTTATTTATACATATACATGCAAATCTAGAAATATGACAGGCATGCTGATGTATAAATACTATACATATATATTTATGACCTCAAGTCATTAATAACAGATGAGAGACTTGAAGAAGCTTATGCATGGCCGTGAAGGCTTCACTACAATGTTCTTACTTGTGCTCTTGTTTGTCTTATTGGGAACCCGGAATGTTGTAAGAATCAACCGCATATTCATCTGGAAAAGAAAAAGAAGGTTTGTCTTTACCAAATCTCCAGCTGTGTGTTACTCGACTAGGTCAGACCATACAAAGTTACAAGGGAAGTCCTCCACTTTATGAGTTCTTAAATAACGTACTAAAGGAAGTCATGTGATTGGAGGACAGTAAATTAGTACAGGACAGACTATGTTCATCTACTCCTTGACAGACTTTGTATGGCATCTAACAAGGAACTAACCAAGCTGGCCCTCCGGGGGCTGTGCCATGGTCTCCACAAACCACTAAGTGTTTTGAAACATTATCTATTCCATTTTTCCTATAGTATTTCCCCTTCCATTCTTCAGTCAAAATCACAGCAGCAGCATGCAATAGTAGATCTTTGACTCGCTAACAACAACAACAACAATGAAAGAGTCTTGGAAGGTTAGCATTGTTGATAGTTCAAGTTGAAGCTGAGTCTTTTCACAACACAACAAAGAGATTCTAAGTGTTAGGACCCCCTGGGAACATCAGCATCCACATTATGGAATGAAAAAATGATCACATAACATGAAACCACCACTGGTTTGCTCTTTGAAGATGGATGGTGATGATGTGGGGGAGTGCTCAGAAAGTGTGAGCTGTGGGCAGGTTCAGTGGTTGTGATTTTTTTGCTCACCATTTTCATAATAACTGTAGACGATGACCGGGGCTGGCTGGGTGTTAGACACAATGTTGGTTTGTTCTATAGAGAAGGTGAAGACGTTTTCTTCCCTGAAAACCTGTAAAGACAGGAATGATAAGCAGGTCCTAGTAGGTCAGAAAAATAAATCCCTGAGAGACTTACCTCACAAGTGCAGGACCTTCCTAAATAGAAGACCTAGCCCATCACTGTTTTTAGGTGATAGCAAAACACTGAGTTAGATGACATTAAAGCACACGAACTTTTAAGCCACACGGCTTATGTTAAGGTGCACAGGTGCTTCTGTTAAGGAATGTACTTGGCTACGTTAGAGAATTACAGGTTGATGTGAGTGGGAATGACGTATGTATAGAAAGAATGGCTTTGAGATTCACACCACAGTTTGGAGTTTTGCACACTCAAAATAAAAACAGAATTGCTATATGATTCAGAAAGCCTGCTCGTGCAGATGCATCCAGGAGAAATTAGGCACTGCCGTGCTCGCTTCAACACCGGTCACAATTGACGGGAATGGAAATAATCCAAGTCTGTTGATGAACAGATCGATGGGCACAGAAACTGTGCTATGTGCACAACAGGAAATTATTTGGCATTTTGGAAGAAGGACACCTTTGACTACTGACAATGGGTGTCTGCTAGGGCAGGGAGAGACAGTTGTCTTCAGGGGTGTGGTCTCTGGTGGGTTGGCCAGGCAGCAGCGAATGGTTCCATATCCACGTATCTGGAGGCAGCAATAATTAGACTCTGCGGGTTACTAAGGGGAGAACATGGAGTTGGATGGATGGTGTGTGTGTGTGTGTTCTGGGAGGAGGTGTGTGAAATTAAGTATGAATAAACTTCAAAATATTGTACTAAAAAGGTAATTATATAGAGAGGGTTGTTAATTAGCTTGTTTATGATAATCAACTCACAATGTATATGTATATCAAAACCATGAGAATTGTCATGAGAATTGTCTAGTCACGTAACAATGGTTTACATGAAAAACCTGATAATACAAAGAATATGAGTAAAGAGACAGAACACACACTACATTCAACGTCCCATTAAACCCTTAAGCTCGTTCACACATGTCCATAGTAAATACAAGCTTTCAAACACCCCTCAGCAGACAAAGCCACGCAACAAAACTCCTAAACAAAGCCAGGCAATAAAAAGCTATCGCTGCTGAACTTACATGGTTCAAGTACAAAAGAACGTGGCTGCTCTTTATGTCCGTCTTCATTACTTGGCCATTGTGTTTAAGCTTTGAAGAGATTGACAAGAAGGGTTGAGGATCAGGCATTAGAGTTCCTGAGAGTCCCTTTCTAGAAATGGCCAGCGCACCTTCTAGGTAGGGAAATGTCCTTTAGAACCTCAGTGTTTCTGTGAGCATAAAGGGAGACTGGGTAAAGAAATACGTGATGAACAATGGACATAATAATGACTCTGCAGGCCAAAAATGTACAGACCAAACACATACATGAAGTCTGCAGAAGTATGCTTAGATGAAGAGTTCTGTTATTTGGTTTGCTGTTTCCTGCACTCTCATTTTCTCTGTGCCAGGGGACAGGGCTGCTTGTATTTACCTTGTCGATCGATGAGAGGATGGGAGTAAACCCAGAGAGCATTTTCACATCCACAAGGACCATATCGGACTTTTCATGAGCCCCGGTGTACCTGAAATGAAAACGCAAACATTTCTACACGGGTTGAGAAATGTGAGCTCTCTCAGTGAGGGCATTGGGTGCACAGATGCACCAATAAGCCTGAAGTCTGCAAAGCTGCCAGAGGCTGGAAAACTTCACCCTCAAACCTCCGAGAACAGTTACAACCGTGTGACAGCCAAGGAGGTGACTAGTGTGTGATATGCCGTTAGCTGGGACAGATCATGAAGTCTGTGAGTGCAAACCCTCCCCAGATATCACAGAGTCAGAGCCTATAAATAGAACTTCCTTGTTCATGTCAAGTAGGTTCCTGCCAGCTTTAGATTGTCAATACTAGAGG